TTTATGCACCAAGAGCTTGTAACACTCCAAAGAGAAAGGAAAAATTGAAATCGCATCATATGACCCCTTTAACAGTGATGCATTAAATTGACCAGTTGACAGTAAAGATGTTTATAATGTTTAGTGGTCGACCGATATATCGCCAATGCGATATATCGGCCGATATTTGGCATTTTTCGAATATCGGCATCGGCCGATACGTTTTTCTGGTTGGCCGATGTGTTCGAGGCGGGACTTTTATTTTGACGGCGCTATGTTTTCTGGGTGACGGTCGGTCTGTGCAAATTGAATGTGGACAGGAGGAGAGTTCAGCTTCACTGGAAACGCGCGATTGACAAACTTTAAACTAGTGATTTCAAATTATGCTGCACTTTATTCATTTGCCTGCTGTCATATTCATGTCATTTTCATTTAATGCTGTATGTAAAATGAGTGTTACCTTGGCTTTATTTGAAAAAGAAAAAGAAAAAAAGATTTCTAATGCACACAAACTTCCCAGAATACTGAGTGCCCTTTTGGTTACAGTGTTTACTTCCTTTATAATTAGATTTTTATTAAATATTTATTTATTTGTGAAAAATGCTTTGTCTTCTAAAGTATAAGTATGTTTATTTTATACAATAATTTTTTATCCATTTTCAAATAATATAAATTAAAAATTTATATATTTATATTATAAATATAAATTAAAATAAATAAAATTATATTGGCTTTATATCGGCCATCGGCCACCCTGCTTTCCAAAATATCGGCATCGGCTGTCAAAAAACCCGTATCGGTCGACCACTAATAATGTCAAAGAATCCTAAAAAAATGTATCATGGATTTCTTGAAGCTGTTTTTTTTTTTTAATACTGATAATAAGAAATGTTTCTTATGCAGCAAATCAGCATATTAGAATGATTTCTGAAGGATCATGTGACACTGAAGACTGAAGGCTGGCTGCTAATAATTCAACTTTGCAATCACAGGAATAAATATATATAGAAAATAGAAAAAAGTATTAGGCTACTGTTTCTACTCTCTAATCAAATAAATGCAGCCTTGCTGAGCATACGAGACTTCTTTAAAAAAACTAAAAAAAGCTTACTTTTTTTTTGCTACAGTTTTGTCATAAAAAGGTTAAATTATCAAAATTTTTAAGAGACACAGTCATAGGTTCTGCAGGGGTCTCTCTGTTTCTTCATTGCAATTTCTGGACTGTTTTATCCTGACTTCAGGCCTCCAAAAATAATATAATTTGTATGTCTGAATGTATGTTTAATGTATTTATGAATACATAAAAATTGCACAGTCACAGTTATGGTGCTGACTTTTGCATGGGCAAGCACCACTGACATTTTCTTGAAAACATAAAAAAATCCTTTTATCAGCCTTACACGTACATTTCTGTTAGCCGGATGTGGACTATGAGATTTACAGACGCCTCCTAGGGAAAATTCAATCAACAGAACAGCTATAAAACAGAATTACAACAGAGTCTGATAATAGTACCACCGTACATCCAGACTGGAAATGGGCCAAATATTATTTTTAAGAGATATGAGATTACAACCTGCCTTTATGGCACATTCAGTCCTTTTAAGTTGCCTTTAGAGAATGTTGGATCCTATTCGCATGTCTTGTTTAGCACCATTAAAATGAAGTTTGTATCTTCTGACATGTGGACAGGGTTTAAAACGTTGGTTTTCAGCTGAGTGCCCTGAACTACTGTATAGGCAAGATGAACACGCACTTATTTTCAACCTTTATGAAGGTTTTAAAGCAAACTCTGGGATGTAGCCTATATCTCTCTAGTGTAACAATGTCCATTTCCCTTGCCAAACACTCGCTAAAAATAGCCTGACTTTTGACCGAAGAACAGCTCTGCTCCATGTTTCGTGAAACATCTGTACAACAATGTAATTGCATACCTTCACCACATAATTTGCAATGGGGAATGCCTGTGGAGCCGTAGTCCCCATGTGTAAATCTTGTGTATGTTCATGTATTTAATACAGACAGAATGTCTTCTCTAACAAACTGCTGCTGCTGTTTTATCACTCTCTGGAGGAAGCACTTCTTCATTCTTTCAGGCAGGAACTCTACAACACATCTGGCCCATATTTTCCATCCAAACAAGTCTATATGTGATAAAACTAAATCTTTTCAAATATATGATTAATTTCATCATAAAACGTACATACAGAACTGCGTTGTCAAAATGCAGACCATGGTTTCCTCCTCACTGCAGGTGCTTTAGTAATGTTTTACCTGCACATGTATCCGTGTCTTTTCACAAAAGGTCTTGCATGACAGATTGTTTACCTCAATGATATCTCAGTGTACCACAGAGGTAGGCCAAATGGAGAACTGAAAATACCACAATTAAAAAAAAACAAGAGTTTCGTTTCTGTGCGGTTGTGGTTAACGCAGTTTTGATTTTTGTTTCATTCAGTTTGTTTCAGAACAGTTTTCCGTTCAGAACTCTTTTAAGCTAGCATCCACAATATAGGTGACAGATAAGACCTTTTTTTTCTGCAGTACATTTTTTGTTGAATTATCCTGTAATACATATACAGAACCAAAAGTAACTGTTTTATTTCAGCTTTTGACAGACACAATACTAAGTAAATACATATAATTATAACACATAAAAATAGGATTTTTTTTTAACACAAATTATTACTGTTATTGTTATAACAAATTATTTTTGTTATATGCCATTTATTTACTTCGTTTTGAAATGTATGACTCCAAGGCAGCAACAGTATTCAAATATGTCAAATGATTTTACCAGTTGTTTGTGATTTACAAGGTGGACCAGGTTTAAGGATAAAAACTAAAAACTCAACTCAAAATCAATTTCTAATTCTAATTTCTAATTCCAAAATATTTTAGAACTTTGTAAATCTAGAAAAATTTATAAAATAATAATATAAAATCTATATGTATTAGTGCTGTCAAATGATTAATCGCATCCAAAATAAAAGTTTTTGTTTACATAATATATGTATGTGTACTGTTTATATATTATGTATATATAAATATACACACATTCAGTATATATTTTGAAAATATTTACATGTATATACATTTATACTTATTGTATTTTATATTATATATAAATATATTTAATGTATAAACAAAACATATTTTTCTTAAATATATACAGGCATGCGTTTGTATTTATATATACATAATAAATATACGCAGTACACACTCATATATTATGTAAACAAAAACTTTCATTTTGGATGTGATTAATCGCGATTAATCCTTTGACGGCACTGATATGTATATATTTTTCTAGGCAGTCAGGCCCTGACCCCTTGGTTGAGAATGACTGGATTAAGTAGAAAACTGAATATCTGTAAATATTTCAGATTACTATGTCCACAAACCTTGACGGGAAATTGAAGATACCACAGCAGCAGACCGCTTTACAATGAAGCAGTTTACTAAACAATGATGTAGCATATTAGAAAGGAATGTTTACACTTCCGATGACTTCAAATATGTGAAACTAATGCAAATGCGCACCAACATGGCCCTTAAAATAACACCTATTTTACAGTTTTGATTTAATATTTTGTTTGCTCACAAACCACATAGGTTGCTAATTTGATCAAATTCAGTGACTTGACCATTGCTTTGCTTACTGTAACAACTTGTTACCCTGTAAACGTGGCTGTGTTTTCCCCAGTCTGATTTAAAAACGTTCACAGTTTGTCTCCTAGAAGTTACATTTAAACCAGGCAGATAGGAATGATTTTAGCCAGTTATTTTTGTTTCTATATGAGACGGTCCGTGGGCAGTTTGTAGGAGGTCTAGCTGAGACTGTTGAAATGAACGCTGTTATTGTGAAAATGTGAATTAAGGTGTTTTTATGACCTTGACCTGCAGGCACAGGATAAGAGGAAAGCCTTGGAAGAGACCAAAGCCTACACCACCCAGTCTCTGGCAAGCGTGGCCTACCAGATCAATGCCTTAGCCAACAATGTCCTGCAGTTGTTGGATATCCAGGCCTCGCAGCTGCGCAGGATGGAGTCCTCCATCAACCACATCTCTCAGGTCAGATACTTTCTCTTTTTAATCTCTCTCTCTCTCTCTATCTCATTTCCCTTGCTTTGTCCTTGTCTGTCTAGAGATTTCATTAGTTGGTTCTTTTCTTTAAGGACTGTCTCCATGTGAATGAATGTTTGCCTCTCACAGTGACTGACTAGTTAATATCTGTCTTGTTTTCGGGTCGCCTCTTTTGTACCCGGTTTCTCTTTCTTCTTTGCATATGCATCTCTATAGTTAATTTGGTCATCGCGGAGATGTAAAACTCTCCCATGGAGTTCTTGTGCAAATTTTACCACTTTCATATGGTGCTGTTGGTTGCTACAGGCTTCTGTCAAACCCACTAGTTGCTGGTGCCATTAAAAAAGGCCTGCAACTATGGCCATAAGACAGCTGCGCTAGGGCTGTGAAGATAAATCGATGCAGAATCTATTCGTGGATCGATTCTGAGATCTTACGAATGCATTGCGATTCTCTCTGGAATCGATTCTGAGCATAGATTTTAACAGCAGATGGCGCTCTACTGTAGTTTTTATCCGCACACTCAAATGCTAATGAAGAAGAGCGCTTGTGCGTTCGGCTGAGTCGTGTAATTTCACCTCGGCTCAGAATACTTTTATGATGCGAGATTAATGTAAACGGCCCACTGTGAACACCCTTGTAATTCACTTCAACGTTTTTGAATTTTATGAATGATTATTTTAGGTTCAAGTGTGTGTAAGGATTTGGAAACGAGCGGAGTACGGCTGTTTCTATAGCATGCAGCGCCATCTGCTGTTCAAAACTAAGCTCAGAATCGACTCGAGAAAGAATCGCGATGCATTCGGAAAATCTCAGCATCGATTTATTTTCCCAGCCCTAAGCTGCGCTAAGTGACACTAGGTAACTGTTTAAACGCCGATGATGTACTAAAAACGAAAACGTTTTTCCTTTGCATTTTTGAAAAGTTTTGCATACAGATGACAACATTATCAAAATGATCCCTATTCACATAGATCTTCGAAAATGACTATCGCTGTATTATGCATGCCAGGCCAGTAGGTGGCGACTTGTAAAGTTGTCACTTTGTAAAGAAACACTATGCACCTGCGCATATGCCTATAGACTTGAACACATAATATGCATGCGTATGACGTCACTGGTTTTACAAATTTGCATTTATGTAGTTTACATGGAGACAATAACACTATCTTTTTCAAAAACAAGTTTGCATTTTCAGGACCCCAAAACTTTGTTAGTTTTCAGTTTTTATTTGAAATAATGCCATTTAAATGCCCCTTATGTAGAAAGCTATTCAACTTACAATTAATTTAAATATAGTTTGATGTTAGCATGTTGTTACACTAATGGTGTGTTGCTCTCAAAAATATAAAAATACTTAAAACACTCAACAATGGGGTAAAAAAGTAAATGTTTTG